GCAAGATAGAACATATTCTTTCATTGCCCTCACTTGATTTTGAAGAGTTGCCTTGAGAAATCCACCAACTTTGCCAGTTTAATACCCCATGTTTAAAGAGAGTGAGGCATTTTTAATAGTCCTGACTCCTCTACCTCGATGTTTGGTTGAGACTGAAGGAAGCAACAACTTGGAGACCAGGTGGTGATATAAAATGTTTTCCTTCTTATATTCTATAAAGAAAAAAAAGGGATTCCTTTCAAGTGGCTTTAACTCTGTTGGCCTCTTCTTTGAATTTCAAACATCATTGTTTTAATAAAGGATATATAGCTTGCTTTGACTAAAGGCCCAGTGTGATTATTGGTGGGCCATGTGAGTACTCTATCAGCTGCTCCTTTTAGATTGTGGGAAAATAGATTTAGAGTTGGGCTAGGGTCAGGGGTGGGAGTTATATTTCCATCTGCCACCTCCTTACCTGTGAACAGGTCATCCTCCATGCCAGGAATGCGCTTTCTCTTTACCTCTGTCTCTTAGAATCCCTAGTTTCCTTCAAGATTCAGCTCATGCACCACCAAATGAGGCCTTTCCTGATGCTTTCAAATGTCAGAACTTTCCTCCCAGAATCACCTTGTATCTATTTGGTATCCATTTTGTATATATCTATACATACATGTACCTGTCTTTCCTAGATGGATAGCAAGATCCTTAAGAACAGCAATTCTTTTCTCTTTTGTCTGTGTGCCCAGCACCTAGCACAGTGCCAGGCACATAACAGGTGCAAATGATTATTGATTGATTGATCTAGTCCATACTTTTCATTTTATGCATTAGCAAAAGTAAGGCCAGAGAGGGGAAATTGATTTGCCCTAGAGTCACATGGGAAATAAGTAGCAGAGCTAGGCAGGCACTATGCAAAATGCTGGGACTAAGAAGAAGCCAAAAATAGTACCTGTAGACCAACTATCCATTAAAAACAATGTATTGATCACTACAGTGTGGCTGTCAATATTTTTTGAAGTATCATGTTCATTGTATGACTCAATGAGAGAACATAGAACTTAGAGCTGAAAGGGACCTTAGAGAACATGTGAGGCTTTAAACCCAGGTCATCCGTCTCCAAACCCTGCCACTTCTCCAGTATATTGTACTGCTTATGTTTCTTAAATCTGAATTTAAAGGTTTATTCATTCCATAAGGCTGTCTTTGAACTTGGACTGTTTGCATAGCACTGTCATAGGTACGTGGTGAATACTAAAGAAATAAAAGTAGCTGACCCTGCTTCTCTTGAGATGCTCCTATTCTGTATATTAGCAGAGACCAAACAGACCCATTCAGAATGTCCAAAATATCCAATAAAACATGGAATATATATGTGTGTGTGTGTGTGTGTGTGTGTGTGTGTGTGTGTGTGTTGGTGAATATTTCACAACCAGCTCTCCAGGGAAAATTTGTACACCCAACTGTATATTTAACAACTGGATCTCCAGGGGGAAAATGTGCTCCTGGCACTTTTAAGTTTAGTCTGCTTTATTAACATGTTTTCCATTACTTTTTGAAGTTTAGACCAGTGGTATCAAACACAAATAGAGAAAGGGGCCACTACTAAACCATAAGTAAGGATGACTGCTGGATGCTTATTGACTTAGAAAACCACATATTATCATATGTTTTATTATATTTTATTTATTTTGTTAAGTATTTCCCAATTATACTCTACCATGGTTCTGTCTTACATGGGAGAGCTGTGGGCCACATATCATTCAGGTAGCGTATTTGACACCTCTGGGCTAGACCAATAAATAAAACAGTAAATCAAGCACTGATTTGTAGCATTTGCTGATTTCTGAGATATAAATGCCCAGACGGAATATTTAATAATTAGTTCTTATGAACCAGTATAAGTGGCTCTAGCACATTTCTGATTATACCTTATTATTTTGTATTTAGCATAAGCCAGAATGATTCACGGGTGCTGGAAGATGAGAACATGGAATGATCAGAGTTGAGTGGGTTAAGTCAGTAAAATCTTCTTAGAGGAAACCAATGGTAAACAAAGTAATCTTTACCACTTTGTTAATGTCAGCTAAATACAGATTTTTTTCCCCCTTTCTCTTAGAGCAAAATGGTTCGAGGTGTTTACTTCCCTCTTCATCTGAGCTTTTTATTGTGGTGTTCAATTAAAAACGTAAACCTAATGATGTTGATTGAGGCTAAGATGCTCTGAGGCAGGTTGATTGGTGTAATGGACAAGAAGAGCCAAGTTCACACCCAGAATCTGGAGTGGTGCTGGGCTTGTAGGCAAAACCTAAGTAACTGGTTCCTATTCCCTCCCAAAATATAGAAGCTATCCATGCTTTCGGTGTCCAGACTGTATCTGCTTGCTTTTAAGTGTACAGAATAAACTAGAGCCATGATCTTTATTCTTGGGAACTTGATAAAGGAATAGTTCAGAAAATTCCTAATTTATTCAGAGTTTCTGATTGGAAGAAAAAAAATATGTGAAAGTGTCATAGTACTTTGAAAATTGGAATGCTCCGTACCCATTCAAAGTACAAGTCAAGGAAGATTCTAACCTTGTTTCACCCTATAGAGGGCAATGAATTCAAATGATGAACTCTAGCTAGTTACTGAATGTGTAATGCTGTATAAAGAATAATACCTCCCTACTGGAGCAGAAGTATGGACTTATTTTGTTCTCTTATCAGAGTAACACATGTTGGTTGGTGAGTTTAGACCTGCACCCACACAAGAGACCTCATGACTCAAGCCTATTGGAATCCTCTCTCTCTCTCTCTCTCTCTCTCTCTCTCTCTCTCTCTCTCTCTCTCTCTCTCTCTCTCTCTTCTCTCTCTCTCTTTCTCTCCTCTTTCTTTTCTCTCTCTCTTCTCTCTCTCCCTTCCTCCCCCTCTCCTCTCTCTCTCTTTCTCTCTCTCTCTCTCTCTCTCTCTCTCTCTCTCTCTCTCTCTCTCTCTCTCTCTCTCTCTCTCTCTCTGTCTCTTCTCTCTCTCCCTCCCTCCCTCTCTCTCTCCACCACATCTTTTATCATTTTCATTTCCATTCCAACTCTCAAGGCAGTATGGTACAAAGGAAAAGGCACCAGATTTGTAGCTAGAGGACCTGGATTGGACACTCACTACCTGAGTGGGAGGGACATGCACAAAACAAGTTATTTGCCTCCTCTGAGCCTCAGTTTTCTTATATGTAAAATAAGGGGTTGAGACAAAATGATCTTTAAATTCTCTTCCTCCTGTAAATCGTTGCTCTTATGGCCTGATACTTCTCTTATGTTGTACCTCCCTTACCACCATGTTAACTTTGATTTTATGCTGTGGAGATTTTCATTTTCTTTATTGTTTGCATTTATTCAGAGAAGAGGCTCTATGTCTGTCTTGATGTTTCAAGGTTTTTTTCTTTCTCTCTCCTTTTTTCTTTCTTTCTTTCCCTCTCTCCCTTTTTTCTTTCTTTCCTTCTTTGTCTTCTCTTTCCCCCTTTCTTTCTTTTTTCTTTCTTTCTCTTTTCCTCCCTCCCTCCTTCTTCCTCCCTTCCTCCTTCTCTCTCCCTCCCTCCCTCTTTCTTTCCTCCTTCCATATTTATTTCTCTTGCTTCCTTCTTTCCTTCATTTCTTTCTTTTTCTTCCTTCCTTCCTTTCTTTTTTTTCTTTTTTTTCTTTCTTTCTTTCTTCCTACATACCTCAGACAGCAGCTAGGTGGCACAGTAGATATAGAGTACCAGTCCTGGACCCATCTTCCTAAGTTCAAATCTGGCCTCAGACACTTACTAGCTATGTGACCCTGGGCAAGTCACTTAACCCTGTTTGCCTCAGCTTCCTCATCTATAAAATGAGCTGGAGAAGGAAATGGCAAGTTACTCCAGTATCTTTGTGAAGAAAACCCCAAATAGGGTCATGAAGAGTCACACATGACTCAAAAATGACTAAACAACATAGCACAGAAGGAAGTGGGGACCATAATCTTAGCTTATAGATTGTAGGAATTTTGAGCTAGAAGGGGCTCAAATTATCTAGTCCACGATGCAGAGTGAAATGAGCAGAACCAGGAGAACGTTGTACACAATAACAGCCACGTTGTGTGATGACTACCTTTGGTAGACTTAGCCTTTCTCAGCAATGCAAGGATCTAAGACATCTCCAAAAGTCTCATGATGGAAAATGCTATCCACATCCAAAGAAAGAATTATGGAGTTTGAATGCAGATCGAAGCATGCTATTTGCTCTTTTTTTTCCTTCTGTTTTGTTTTGTTTCCTCTTTCTTGTGGTTTCTTATATTGGTTCTAATTCTTCCTTACAACACTACTAACGTGAAATATGTTTAATGGGAATGTATACGTATAGCCTATATCAGATTCCGTGCCATCTTGGGGAGGAAGGTGGGAAAGGAGGGGGAGAAAAATCTAAAATTCAAAAGCTTATAGAAGTGATTGTTGAAAAATCCAAATAAATTAATAAAAAACAAAACAACAACAAAAAAAGAAATTATCTAGTCCAACTTGCTTATTTTACAGATGAGGAAACTGAAATTAACAGATGTATGGAAAAATCATTACCATCACCATAGGCAGCTTTAAGGATTGCAAAGCACTTTATAAGTATCCTGTTTAATGCCATTTTACCCTCATAACAACCCTGGGAGTTATATGCTATTAGTATCCTCATTTTGCAGATGAGGAAACCAAGGCAGGTAGAGGTTAAGTGACTTGCCCAAGGTCACACAGCTCATAAATGTCTGAGATGGGATTTAAACTTAGGCCATCTTGACTTGAGGCCCAGGGTTCTAGCTACTGCTCCAGCGAGCTATTTAACCATAGAAATACAATAGGAGTATCTGCCACCTACTGCCTGTGGGGAGAAAACTAGAGCTTGTTTTCCTTGGCATACCTCTCTTCTCCTATACCACTTCTCCTGCTGTTAAGTGATATGATTAATCATTGTGCGAGGCCTCTTTTGACAGAGAGGTAAAGAAGAAACTGGCTTCCAAATGCTTGCAACAAGATATATCCTAACACACATCTTTACAGCATAATACCACTAACCATTTGGGGCCTTGAGTGAATCCCATTAATATATGATTCTTTGGTCATAGTCAGCTTCAGAGGAGACAAATGGCTTTGTCTTCCCTTCGATGATGGTCTTTCATTATTCATACGGCTGCTTGTATTTATTCACCAAAGTTCTCCAAATGTAGCTCTCTCTGGGGTGCGACTCAGCACAGTCATGTTGTGTCTCTAAATGGGAAAGAGGGGAGGAGGAGGAAGTAATTACATTTAAACTCTGGGGCTAACAAGTGCTGAAATGCTTCTGGTGAGGATGTAATGGGCCTTCTGCCATCTGTGCTCTCAGGTGATTAGGAAGCTGTGTTGAGAAAATGAAGCAGCGAAGGCCCATCTAATTTCTCCTCACCTATAGTTGGCAGCAGAATTTAAATAGCACGGGGGCCTTCAGCACCATCTCCTTCTTGGGAAGACAATGTGTAAGTGGTGGTGATCCCCCTCATTGGACCAAGGGTCTGGGCAAGGCCAGGCCTAGGGAAAAAAAAATTATAGGAGAAATTTATGTTTAGCAATTATCTAATTATCTTCCCTTTCTATTCTCTTATATCCTCCATTTCAATACCCTGTTATAGTGGATAAAGAGCCAGGAAGATGAGGGTTTAATACCTATCTTTGTCTCATACTGGTTGTATAATACTGATAAAGTCATCTGAGTAGTTAGGTAGCATAGTTGATAGGGCACTGGGCTTTGGAGTCAGGAAGACTTATCTTTCTGAGTTAAAATCTAGTCTTAGACATTTACTAGCTGTATGACCCAGGGCAAAACACTTAACCCTTTTTGCCACAGTTTCCTTATCTGTCAAATGATCTGGAGAAGGCAATGGCAAACCACTTCAGTATCTCTGCCAAGAAAACCCCAGATGGGATCACAAAGAGTCACACACTACTGAAACAACTGAACAACTTTTTATTATTAATAGCGTTATTTAATAAACTCATTTATGCTAAGCTGTTACTTTGGGGGAAGAATATGTTTTGGGGAGTTGTTTCATTAGGAAACATTGATGGGGAGCACTTCCCTGCCAAATTAACCTAGTTTGGCCGTCAACAATACCTGTGTGTAAAACTAGTTCTCCATGCAGTGATCCTCATAATATTTCTCTTCTTGTCTTACTCCCCCCATCCTCATCCATGAATAACAGTGACCTTGTGAGACAACCAGTCCTATAATTTCATAAGGCAAAGAGGAAAAGATAATTTCCTTTGGTTCTGACCAGCAAATACATACCAGAAAATGAGCCTCTGAGATAGAACCACATGTCCGTCAGTCTAAAATTCACTTTCTTCATGTGGGGTAAATGTCGAAAGCAGAAGAAATAAGGCTTGGAGCCTAAAAACAGAGAAACATATAAGACAGGGTCTGGGAGAAGAGGGAGGGGAGAGAGAAGTGTGAAGAATGATGAAGGGAAGATAAGAGTCTAGAGAATGGGCTTCCTACACTGTAGACCTGAGAACCTTCTCTACAGAAGTGGCTGGAGGTAACACCAGTTAATAGCTCTGTTCTGGCTCAACTCTGACCCTGGCTGTGGACTGTGTGATTCTGTACTGACTTCTTTGCACTTTGCATTAGCATATCAGAGGGAAAGAAATGGATAGGCCTCTCATCAAAGTGTTTAAAATCCTGCCAGGAGAAGGGACATTAACTCAGCTGGCTTTGCTCTACAGAATAACATTGTCACCCAAAATGCATTAAGCTTATTGAATAAACAAACTATAAATGCAAAAATTTAAATGAAATTGCTGAAATCAACATAAAAATAAGGGCTTAATCAATGTGTGTTCTGCTTTTCCCCAGACCATAGTCTTGGTTCAAATTGATTTCTGTATTCTTACGCTTTCTGATTATAGGTTCATTCTGAGTTCTAAGGGGAAATTCCCCAAGCTTTCTCAAATTTTCTTCTTTATTCACTGATCAGCAGAATCTGGGCCAACCTTTTCAAAATTCCCTTGAACTCAAGGGTGGAAATGTCACTCAACAAACCTTTAATGTTTACTATGTGCCAAGCACTGTAATAAGGGCTGAGATACAAAGAAAAGCAAAAGGGGTTCCTGCCCTCAATAATTCACATTCTTTGGGATGGGGAACAGAGAGAATATGCGAACTATATATAAACTATGTTGTTATTGTTCTTTGTTTTTTTGTTTTGTTTTGTTTTTTGCTTTTTGGTGAGGCAATTGGAGTTAAGTGACTTGCCCAGGGTCACACAGTTAGTAAATATCAAGTATCTAAGGTCAGATTTGAACTCATCTTCCTAACTCCAAGGCTGGAGCTCTATCCACTGCAAGAGAGTTAAGTGACTTGCCCCAGGGTCACACAGCTAGTAAGCGTCAAGTGCCTGAAGCTAGATTTGAACCAGGTCCTCCTGACTCCAATGCCAGTGCTCTATCCACTGTACCACCTAGCTGCCCCCAGACTTTGTTTTTAAAGAGGACCAATTGGGGTACGTAGGTGGCACGGTGGATAGCACACTAGCTCTGGAGTCAGGAGGACCTGAGTTCAAATCCAGCCTTAGATGTTGACTCTTATTAGTTGTGTGACCCTGAGCAGGTCCAATGATATCATGGATAATGGCTTGACTTATGGGGGGAATTGGATTTAAGTGAAGCAAAGTTGCACAAAGTCAGCCTCACTTTTTCTTCCTGAGTCATCAAAGTCAAGTGATAGGACAAAAGTCAAGGTGACTGATGATGGCCTAGGATGCAATGGATAACCATAGTGTCTTGGATGTCTGATCAAGCTCTAAGAGCTCCATAGCACCTACTTCAGTCACCTTTATGACTATTGGAACAAATTGTTCTCCTCCACCCCTCCCTCCAGGGAAAGCCTTCACATGCTTGAGGTAGACATCTCCCCAACTCACCAACAGGTTTGAGGTCTGTCGATTACCCTCAACCTGCCAAGATGGGCAAGTCAATTCTGCTCTGGGAAGCAAAGGACAGATGCTATTTCATTGCAAGAGGGGAGAAAGAAATAGGAGGTGGTTTTGTGAACACTGAAAACTTGATTCTTAACAAAGCCATGGGGAGAGGGGAGGTGGGAAGAGGAAATAAAAGATTGATTTTTTTAATTGAAAAGAACTGTCTTTCTCTTGCCATCTTTTTCCAAAATAAAATTTGATGACTATCTTTTGGTTTTTACATCACCAGAATTTCCTCTAGTATCTCTCCCTCTCCCCCTCCCAGAGAACCATCTCAAGTACGAAATACAATTTTTAAAGAAAAAAAATGCTTGGGGGCAGCAAAACTGATCAGTATGTCTAAAAAGTCCAGAAATATGTCCTATGTACTGCACCTGCGGACCTCCCACCTCTACAAAGGGGTGGGGGTGGCTTCTCATATCTCTTCTTTGGAGCTGTGCTTGTTCTTTGTGATTTTGCAAGCTTCCTTTTGATTATTTTATGGTTACTCTTTTTGTTTACTTTACTGTAGTCATTGTGTATATTGTTTTCTTGGCTCTACTTATTTTACTGACTATCATTTCATGTGAATCTCTCCATGCTGTATCATCATATTAATCATTTCTTATAGCACAGTAATATTCCACTGTATTCATGTGCCACGATTTACTTAGCCACTGCCAAATCAATGGACATTTATTTTGTTTGCATTTCTTTGCTGTCACAAAAAATGGTGCTGTAAATATTGTGCTATAAATATAGGGACTTTCTTCTTCTCAATGGCCCTCATGTAATGTAAGCCTAATAATGCAATCTCTGCGTCAAATGGTATGACATCTTAGTCATTTTATTTGCCTAATTCCAAATTATTTTCCAAAATAGTTGTACTGATTCACAGCTTCACCAACAATGCACTAGTGGACTTATCTTTCCATAATTCCTCTAACAATGACTATTCCCTCCTTTTGTCATCTTTGCCAACTTGTAGGATGTGAGGTAAAATTGAGGCTTTTTTGATTTTCATTTTTCTTATTATTAGAGATTTGGACTATTCTTTTATATGGTTGCTAATAGTTTATAATTCCTTTGAGAGTTGTTTGTTCATATCCTTTGCCCACATATCAATTGGGTCACACATACTATATTCACATCTGTGTATGTACATGTGTATGTATGTGTCTGTGTATAAACACACATACAAATATATATGCGCAAATACATATAGGTATAGTATGTGTTAATTGCATATGTATTGTATATGTATGTATATGTATATAATTGCAATTGTATACCAAACCCAAATCGGAGGGAAGTGGCAAATCACTATAGTATCTTTGCCAAGAAGACTCCATGGACAGTATTGGTGTGCTATGGACCACAGGGACATGAAGAGTCAGACACAACTGAACAACATGTGCCAGGAAATGTGCTAGAAGCCAAGGATTTAATGTTTGACCATGTTTTTTTCCTAAGATCTACCTAAGGTGCTAGAGGTCTGGAACACAGGAAGGACTTAGTAAACACTTGTTGACTGACTGACTTGAAAACTTCTCCAAATGGGGAGGAAGCCAGTAGAATACTTTACTTCCCTAGGTCTGGTCCCTACCTTTGCAAGCAGTTCACTACTTTTTAATAATCTGTTTCCTAAATGATGTCTCTCATGCCACTTCTTCAAAACACACACACACATACACACACACACACACACACACACACATGCACGCACGCACGCATACACATATACACACACATTTGTTAAGGAGACAGAAGGTCAGAATAAGTCAGGTCTGGTGTCAGGCAAAGCATGATCAATGGCATGACAAAGACAACAAGAGAATTAAGTATAAGACAGTATAGAGTTAAACTGGCTCACCAAATTAGTCAAGATAGGAAAGAGGAAGAGTGTTAATCTGATAGTCTGGGAGAGAAATGAGGGATAAAAGAAATAGAGGTCACAGAAAGGAGGAAAAAGTTAGTGGTCATAAGGCAAAGGACAGAAGGAATAGACAGAGGAATTTTAGAATGGGAAAGAACAATCCCTAGGTGATGGCAAGATTAAGGGTTGTGGAGAGAAGGAGTAATCCATGAGAACTGAGTTACTTGGAGAACTGGGAAGTTAGGATATTTGAGGTTGCATCTCTGTGTGTGTGCGTGTGTGTGTGTGTGTGTGTGTGTGTGTGTGTGTGTACATACATATACATCCACATACACTCATATATGTTGATGACTCCTAGTATGAGGGTGGAAAGAAAGATCTGGAAGTCAACAGATAATAACCACCAGAATCTGAATTGAGTGATGAATTTGAATAGTGTGAATTTAAAAAGGAGAGAAGTTCAAAATGGTAGAGGGTAAATCTGGAAATGGCAATGGGCAGCAAGGAATATTTTAACTCCTCTACCATGACCAGTGAGTCAAAGAGTATGAGAGAAAATATAATCAATCCTGGAAAGGGTGTCATTTAAAGGGAACCAGACCTCAGTCAGTGCCAAAAGTTTGAAGAAGAAAGGAAATTTAAGATGAAAGTGAGTTTGCTGATTATGGATGGTGTATTATTCCTTTAGGCACAGAAGAAGGCATAAGCATATCAGAAGCTTGACACAGGGTAGGGGAGAGTTTAGTTGAAGGGGATGGTAGTAAGGGAGTGGAGTGTAGAGAATGGGGAAGGGGTGGGAGTGTGAGAACAATTGAAGAATAAGTCTAAGCAGAGTATCAAAGATTGGAGAGAAGTCTGTTGTGGGGGCAGCTAAGTGGTGCAATGGCCTGGAGTTGTGGGCCTACAGTCAGGAAGACTTGAGTTCAAATCTCATCTCAGATACTAACTTATGACCCTGGTGGACAAGTCACTTAACCCTGATTACCTCAGTTTCCTCATCTGTAAAATGAGAATGGAGAAGAAAATGGCAAACCACTCCAGTATCTTTGTCAAGAAAATACCAAATGGGGTCACAAAGAGTTGAACACAACTGAAATGACCGAACAACAACTATTGTGGGAAAGTAGAAGAATAGATTGTTCATGGTCCTCTCTCAGGGAACTAGCTGGAAAAGTCCCTGAGGGATAAGATGGAAGCCTATTTGTGGGTGGTAGAGTCTTGTCCTTGGATGGGATCAGTCAGTCAACAAACATTTGTTAAGTGCCTACTATGTACCAGGCACTGTGATCAGCACTGGGGATACAAAGCAAAGCAAAAGATAGTGTGTGCCCTCAAGGAATCCACAGTTTAATGGTCTCAACATGTAAACAATTATATACAGAATGCATTGGAATAATCAACAGAGGGATCTTCTTTCTGTCCACTGAGAAGCCATTTAGTACCTCTGAAATACACCATTCAAACATCAGGCTGGGCTGGATGGCCGCTGAGATCCCTTCCAACCCTAGCTCTCTGAGCCTATGGTCTAGTGCCCTGTTCCCTGGAAGGATCACAGGTTCTGGAAACATGAGGTTACATATTTATGTGCTAGTCCAAGTCCCAGCACCATGCTGTAGTGATAACCTGGAGGATTGTCCCTTAGAATAGGGAACATGTAAGCCTAAAGAGCCAAAAAATTTTAAGACAATTATTGTTATATTAAATTAATATTGCCATTTTAATGTTTATAATTCTGTTCCTTCCTGGGACTTGTATGTGTGTGTTTGTTTATCATCTCTAAACAGTATTTCATCTTAAGAGTGGATGGATCTGTGGGCCTGTGAGATGAGTTTTCTTTCTCTTCTACAATTATTTGGAAAAAAAAATTTAGCTCCCTTTATGAAGCTTCTCCATGATTCATTCACTTCAACCACCAGATGCTTGCTCCTGAGCTAATTAGACCATAGGGCTTGACAAAATCCTATAGCGTTACTGTAAACATTTTTTTCTTCATGAAAAGAAATGACAGTTTCTGCCTTTTAGTTTCCTATATGGGGAAGATCTATTATTTGATATTTCAAACTAAGTCTTATAGGAATGGGGAACAAAATAAGGTAGTCAAGTAAGGAAAATAAATCATATTGCTTCAGAAAGATGAACAGATGAGAGATTTGAAAGATCTGAGAACTGCTTTTATTTTAAAAAAAAGCACTAATGTAATATGCCAAACTCCCCAATCTCTTCTTGCCCTTTAAGTCCCCCTGACTTGATGTTCTGATCAGAAAGACTTCTTATCTCATATTACAAAAGACACAGTATAATACATAGGGTGCTAGATTTGGAGTCAGGAAGACTTGGGTTCAAAGCTGGCTTCAGAAACTTACTAAACATTGACCCTGGGCAAGTCACAACTTTTTTGAGGATCAGTTTCCTTATATGTAAAGTAAGAAGGTTGGACTCACTGGCCTGTATGGTCCTTTCCAGCTCTAGAATTCATTATCAGCTTTCCTCCCATTAGAATAACCATTTTTCCATCCATTAGAAAATATGGCTTCTAACTCCCAAGGAAGATTTTAGGGATGACAAATTTTCTACCTCTAAGATGTACTTTCAAAACCACCCTCAATTTCAGCATCAGCATCTCACTGCCTACTGAGACCTGGGGATAATTCATCCTACTGGCTGAGGAGGATCCACAAACCTAGACTTGGAGAGTGATCCTTCAGATGTGACTCATGGCAGACTCTGAGTTCCCTGGATGGTACTAGACTTCAAATTAGAGCATTGTACAAGAGCAGGAGGCATCAGGCCTGAGAGAGAGTAAAATTAAAGGGCTTCTTTCTACCCCCTCACTGAAGCAAAGGGGACTCCCTTGGCAGATGTGCAGAATCCAAAAGGTTTTACTGACCTTTCCAAACCTGCTTATGAATCCCGATCCACTTGGGACACAGAGATAGATGTTGTATTATGCATAAAGTAGCAACTGAAGGCAGTTGGCCAAGTTTTCTTCAAAGCTGCTATTTTCTTAGACTCTCCTGTTCACTTCATTTTGAGTCTTCCATTCCAAGATTACCCTACAGGGAAATCATTTAAGAATAGCTTAGGGTCTTATTGAGTCGTGACTGATGCATACTGTAGGCTCATCATAATCACCCTGGGATTCCATGTAGAGATAGCGAGGCATCATAATGGATAGGGTGCTGAATTTAGAGTTAGAAAAACCCTTCTTCAGACAATTGCTAGCTGTGTGACCCTGAGCAGGTCACTTACCCTCTCTCAGCCTCAGTTTCTTCATCTGTAAATGGGAAAATTAATAGCTCTTACCTTACAGGGCTAATGTGAGGATCAAACGAAATAACGTTTGTGAAGTTCTTTGCATGATTTAGACTCAAAAGAATTCTAAATAGAGCTTTCTGAAAGTGGAATGAGCTGTCTTGGGAAGCAGTGAATTTCCCCTCAATGGAGGTCTTGAAGCAAATGCAGTATGATTGCTTCTCCAGTATATTGTAGAAGAGAGTTCTCTTTGGGGCGTGAATTGGAGGAGATAGCCACTCATGTCTCTTCCAACTCTGTGCTTTTATGATTTCATGACTTTCATTCAAGTCGTATCTCTGCTACTTAGAAGCTCCATGATAGTGGGAAGTCACTTAACTTCTCAGAGAATCCCACCGTTAGAGGAGACCTCAGAGGTCATATGACTGAACCCAGACCTACAAAGTCTTTCTACTGTAATGGACCTGACAGGTAGTCATCCAGTCTTTGCTCTAAGAGTTTCAGTGAGGGGAGAAGCCTCCACCGGCTGAGGTAGCTTATTCCATATCTATAGAACACTCATTCTCAGAAGTCTTTTTCCTTTATGACAAGCCCCGATTTGCATCTTTGCTACTTCCACCTACCAATTACTCCTGGTTCTGCCCTCCAGAGTCAAGCAGAAAAAGTCTAATCATTTTTAAATATGACCTTTCCCCTAGCCTCAGTTTCTTCACCTGTAATATGGGGGCAGTAACCCTACCTGCCTCACAGGGTCATTGTTCCTTTATAGAGTCATTGTGAGAAACAAATAAGGTAAAATGCTTTGTAAACTTTAAAAGACTATAAATGTAAGTTTGCTTTCCTTGTTAGTAACTAAGTCCCCTTGGATGGGTAGAGAATAGAGTTGACTTTATACCAAATACTTCTGGTTAGATCTGGTCATAATTGGTAGGGGACTTCAGTGCATTTTCATCTAAGTGTCTGGCTGTTGGCAATATAAAATCAAAGCAAGAAGATACATGCCCCAGGACTCATAGCTATCAGGGTAGACTGAAAGAGAATTAAACATTGGGCCTAAAGGGGATTTTTAACATCTCCCAGCTCTCCTTCCTAGTCCTCTTTTTGGGGGCTTTTCTGGGATTCTGTATTTCTGGCTATGAACATAAGTCCATGATTTTGTGTCCTAATCTAATGCCATATAATACTTAGTGAATGGTAGAACTGATCATTAGTGGCTCGTCAATGTGGGCACAGCTGATAGAAATATGTTAGATCAATAGAATGTGGAAATGATTCATTTTTAATGGTTTTAAATTTTTTGTTCGTGCTTGTACCCACTTGAGTTAATGTCAATAGATGGGAGAAAGCATTAGCAAGTTTATTAATTAATAGTGTTGTTGTGAATAAACTTGTTTTAAGTTAAGCAACACAACGAATTGTCACTCAGTGGAAATGCTGAGGGAAGCTAAGCCCTTACTTGAAATGATTCTGCATTTCACACCTTGCTAAATTAAAATATAGTTTCTCTCACTTCACTGTACTCAAATGGACGAGGGGGAGCCTCAGTACAATTAAACAACAGAAGTATAAAATAATGGAATAATTATTGGATTTTCTAGTGGTCATTTCAGGTGTTTTTAGTCATTAATATAGTCCTTGGTTTTCTGTTTGATGTTTATCTTAACGATACAAAATGTCTCTTACTTTGCTGGTGTTAGCCACGTTGGTGCAGGGAACTCCTGATCTCAAAACCAAAAATCATCCATGTTATTTGGTCAGAGACCAAATTTGGGAAGTGGAATTTCTCAATTCCTTTGAATGCTTACATGTTGCCTGCTCTATAAGATGAGAGTATTATTATTTTTGGCCCTCGGAGGCTCAAGGAATTATAGGACTTTCAAGATAGGATTTTCTTGTTTGATATCATAATTTTTAAGGAATTTCAGTCTCTTGTGTCAAATAGTTTCAGTGAGATTGGCATGCCAAGTATAAATTCAGAGGTTCAGAGGGGGTAAAAGATAATTTAGTGAACTAAATATTACTAACACCATCTAACATCATTAATTGATTCTCTGAAAATACCATTAGTTGAAAAAAGAAGAATAGCTAGAACTTAAATAGCAATATAAGGTTTGCAAAGCACTTTACAAAGTATTATCTCATTTTATCTTCACAACAACCTTGGGGGGTAACAGACAGAGGTTAAGTAAATTGCGCAGGATCATACAACTAGCTAGATGAGATGTCTCAGGATAATTGGTTTAATGAGAATTTTTTTTGTAAAATGACATAAATAAGTGGCTGAACTTTGTGACTAGTTTTGGTTGTGTTGTGCCATCAGATACTAATAATAATTGATATTCACATCATTCTTCAAAGTTTAAGCACCTTTTAATACATAATCTCATTTGAGCCTTGCAATAACCCTGTAACATGAGTATTACAGTTATGATTACCGCTAATAGGCATCAAAGATGGGATCTGAAACAAAGTCTTTTTTATCCTAAACTCAGCACTCTAGCTTCTGTTCTAGAGCATGGGCAGCTAGCCAGGTGGTGTAGTAGATGGACCCCTGAGCCTGACATTAGGAAGACCTGAGTTCAAATGTGACCTTAGTTACTTATTATCTGTGGGGCCCTGGGCAAATCACTTAACCCATCTGCCTGACTTCTCAACTGTAAAATGGAGATAATAATAGCCCCTACCTCCTAGGGTGGTTGTGAGGATCAAACAAGGTATTTGTAAAGCACTTTGTACAGAGCCTGGCACATAGCAGGTACTTAATAAACTCTTGTTCCCTTCCCCATCCCTATGTTTCGGAATGTTCCTGGGTCATGATATTGGGGCAAATTTGTGCAGGCTAAAATGTAAATTATTACTATCCTCCTCTGAAATCTCTCAGAAGTTAGTTTACATTTTTCCTATAAACCTTCAAACCATGCTTCATAATTATGGTTATTTTTCATCTTACTCTATACTAGACTGTAAACTCCTCAAGGACAGGACATCTCTTTGCATTCTCCCTAACACAGGGTGCATTTTTTGTTCCATTCAGTTGATTAGCAGTGGCTACCCACAAAATATAATTATCTTCCTTGGGAGACTTTTCCTACCAGCTAAGAGACAGAGGCCAGGATGACCAAAGAATAGAGCAAGACTGTTAACTTCCCCTTGGTTAGATAGGAGACAGAACTCAGTGGAAGCAGCCCAAGTACATGAACTTCATGTTGCTATTTTGCCCCCTGTTTATTCCCCTTATTTCTCTAAATCCCCACTACGCTCTCGATATTTCATAATGCCCGCAGGAAGGCTGTCCTCCAAGGACAGCTTCTGAGCACAGTGATACCCTGCTCTTTGAAGTTGCCTAGAATTATCCCCACATGAATAAGTCCAGTATCCTAAGCATTCTCTCCCCTCTTCTTTAAGCCTAAGTCCAGAATATATTACTTTGGTGAATGTGTTGATTTCAGTTATTCGGCATTAACATACATCAAAATGCTCTCGAAGAAGAAGTATTCCCCATCCCCTAGAATTGTTCATTGGAGTTGGGGAGCAGGTACAGGAGAGATCACCATTGGGAATAGAAATGATAGAAAGAAAAGAGGCAAGGACAGTTTAGTTTCTGCTTAGAGGCAACTAGCTAGTGGAGTAGATAAAATCCTGCACTTGGTGTTAGGAAGGAAGACCTGAGTTCAAATTCTTCCTCAGATACTTGCTAGTTGTACGACTCTGGGCAAGTTGCTCAGCCTCAGTTTCCTCATCTGTAAAAGGGAGACAATAATTGCCCTTGCCTTACAAAATTGTTATAAGGATCTAATGAGATAACATAAAGTGCTTTGCAAACCTTAAAGTACTATGTAAGTGCTAGCTATTATTATTATTACTATTTAGAGATGCAAACTAGAGGCTGTGAATATAGGACCAGACTAGCTCCATGGAATTCTGATGTCAGAAAGGTAAAACAAATTTTCAGTGGATGAGGACAGATTTCAAAACTAAAACCTCTTAAAAGTTAGAAAAACCATACTGAAAAGAGATAATTTAGAAGTTAGTATTTCTGCTAGAAGAGACAGCATGGCATAGTGGATAGAGAGCTCATCTGAGAGCTACCAAGTGTTGAGGTCAAGTCTTGCCTCTGACACACACTGGCTAGGTGACCCTGAGCAAGTAACTTGCCTTCTCAGGGTCATGGTCAGTTTACAAAGACCAGAAATTACAGCGATGGGCATTGGTGGAGGGAATTTCTTCATCCAGGAGTTCTATATTCCAATGAAATTATAGGTCTAATTCCTATTGCTATTTCTAACATATGAGAAGGATATTGATAGGAAACCAAGATGGGTAGGGATCCTTTGCAAGGGTCTCTGACATCCATTTCCTCTGCTCTGGCTTATCTGGTTAGCCCCAAGCCTCCCTACCTCCATCCTGATGCCCTGGGGAAGCATGAAACGGTCTGCCTTAACCACAAAGAATATCATACGTGTCCTTAAATTAGGGGAGAATAACTAAAGAGAAGGAAAAGCCCTACCTGTTGTTTTTTCAAGTTGTTGTTATTTTTCTCCCCTGTTTGGTCCTTGGCTTTTGATTCTTTAGAGCATGATTTAGCAAGAGCTGGTAGTTGTCAATTCTCTGCCAAAAAAAAAAAATGACAGAGGGCTAAGATCTTTTCTTTTCCCATAGCTGTTCATTTAATCTAGAAAGGTCTAGGCCAAGGGTTTTTCTCTTAATGCTTAAACTAGGAAAGCCTGTGTGGACTTTCAGCAGATGCAATGGATAGCATAGCATAGGAAGAAGTTAATGGAAGAGGGAAAAGGAACAAATAGAAATGTAAAAGGACAGAAAGTAAGAGGGGAAAAGAGGTGCATATGGTAGGGAATAATTAATCATTTTAAAGCCACCAATGTCTTAGGCTTCTCAAAGCTGGTTTAGTTCACTTACTGCGGTCCTAATTTCCTTACAGGTTTCTTCTCCTTGTATATAGTCAGCACAGCAAGTCAACATGAGCAGCTGGTACCAAATTTGCTTTCATGCTAGCCATCCCTGTTGGTTTGGGGTTCTCTGTATCTCTTATTCCTATATCACATACAACTCTGCTTTCAGACAAAGGTCACTGGTCTTCCTCTGAGGGCCAAGACATTCCAGTTGGACTGTAGCTAGCGTGAGGCAAGAGACTTGATCCAGTTGCTTTTTAAAATCTTCAGTATCATTTGTATTCAAGGGAATTTGGGGGGAGTTTACTTATGACCTGTTTATTGTTGAACATCTTACAGTACTGATTCTGTTCTAGTTGAATTTAAGCCCCCTGAGGGCAGGAGGTGTTTTTGTTCTGTCTTTCTAACCCTATCACCTTGTATAGTGCCTAAGACATAGGAAGCACTTAATAAATGCTTGTTGAATGAATTGTTCAACTACTAATTAGTAATAATAGTGCTATACAGTAGTTAGAGAGCCAGCCCTGGAATCATGAAGATCCAGGTGGAAATCCTTCCTTGAACACATATTAGCTAAATAAGCATAGATCATTAAACTCTTCACAGCAATTATGTCACAGATCTCGAACTCTCTTTCTCTCTAAAAGGAAGGAAGGGAGGGAGGGAAGGAGAAAGGAAGGAAAGAAGGAAGGAAAGAAAGAAGGAAGGGAGAAAATATTTGTTAATCCTATTATGTGCTAAGAACTCTGCTAAGCACTTTGCAAATATTATCTCATTTGATCCTCACAACAATCCTGGGAGAGGGGTACTATTATTTTCCTCACTTTATAGTTGAAGAAATTGAGGCAGGCATAAAATTAAATGACTTGCCCAGGGTTACATAGCTAGCAAGTGTCTGAGACTCAGACTGGATTTGCACCAGGTTTTCCCAACTGCCAGCCTGGGACTGTGCCATTTAATTGTTACTAAAATAGTAAAAACTCCTGAGCTATTTTACCAGTTTTCCCTTTACATTTAAAAATATAAAATTGTTAGCATCATTAAAAAGTATTAATTAATTGCCTCCATACTTTCATGTTCCAGAGCTTACATTCTTTACATGTTTTATTTAGTACTGAAAACTTTTAAATGTTAGTGATAAACTTTTCTTTTTTCTCTCTCACTCTCTAGCTCTCCATGAATTCCCTAGTGACATCTTCACAAATGAGGAACGGCGACAAGGAGCTGTGATCTTACATGTCCTTTGTGTAAGTAGCTTCGGTTCTACATTCTATGTTCTACTTCTTGGATTTGGATGAAACAATGGAAAATTTTTAAAGTGAATATCTCTGTGTTCTTACACTCACACAGGTATTCTCATGTAACATACTTATCATAGCTCTGTGGGAGACACCATGAAATCAATCATATGTTTTATTAGATTTGTGGATTCCTTGAAGCTGGAAGGGATAGCTAATATACTAGATAATAGAAATGGAATCCCTAAAAATCCTGACAGGCTGAAACAATGAGCTAGATCTAAGATAAATTTAGTAGACAAATGTAAAACCTTTTACTTGGGTTCAAAAGCTTAATCCCATGATTTTAAGATGAAGAAGATATGATATAGAGGAGTTTATCCTCCAATTGATAAATGTACAACAAACATGAACAGCAGTTTTCAAGGGGAAAAAATTCAAGCTATCTATAGCCACAATGAAAAAATGCTCTAAATTACTAATAACTAGAGAGATAAAAATTAAAATGTCTCTGAGGTTCCATCTCATTTCCATCAGCTTGACAAAGCTCATGAAAAATGGAAATGATGAATGTTGGGGGTGTTGTGGAAAATTAGGCATATAGTTCTAATGTGGATGCATCTGCAAAGGGTAACAATCATTCTGGTAGCAATTTGGGACTGCTTTCCCAAAGCTACTAAAGTAAACCGTACGTACCCTTTGACTGAGAGAAACCACTACTAAGCCAATGCCCCAAAGAGATCAAAGAAAGAAGAAAAGGTCTTATGTGTACAAAAAAAAAATCATAGCAGCCTTTTTTATTAAGGACAAAAAAATTGGAAATTCAAGGGTGGCTCATCAGTTGGTAAAGGGCTGAACAAATTGTAGCATATGAATGTAATGGAACATTGATGTGCTATAAGAAATTAATAAAGGGATAGTTTCAGAGAAACCTTGAATGACTTGCATGAACTCAGTATGGCCTTGGTAGATACAAAGTGATGGGAGCAGGGCCAGAATAATTTATGCTATAATCAATATTATAAAAAACAATTCTGAAAGACTTAAGAATGCTGACCATGGCAATGATCAACCTTAATTTCCAAGGACCATTGATACAAAATAATGAACTACTGTGTTGAATGAAACACACTTTTTGAGCATACCCAATATGGGAATGTGTTTTGTTCTATTCTATTCGTTACAAGGGTTTAGGTTTGTTTTTGTTTTCATTTTTGTTTTTCATTTTTTTAGTAAGGGAAGGAACAGGTGGAAATGAGGGGGGAAATGCTTAATAATTGAAAAAATAAAGTAGTTCATGTGAAAAAAAACCCGAGAGTTTCAGTAGATCAAACGTTCAACAGCTTTGGAAGCCAAAAAAAAAGAATACATTAATATCAGGCTGTATTGAGAAAAGCATAGCGTCCAGAAGAAGCGAAATTATTATCTAACTGTACCCTGCTTTGGTCATACTACATCTGGAGTAATCTGTCCAGTTCTCCATGCCACATTTTAGGAAGGACAATAAATTGAATTACGACATCAGAAATCACCAAAGGTGGTAAAGAAACTGGAGCCATATGAGAAATGGTTTTTAAAAATTGAGGACTCTTGACCTAGAGAAAAGAAGATTGTGGAAGTATAAGGAGGGAAGAGGGGAAACAGTTGCTATATAATATGAAGTGTTGATTCATGGAAGAGAGATTAGAGTTGATCTGGTTGACCCCAGAGGATAGAATTGGGAACAATGGTGGAAGTTAAAGGGACACAGAATGATAAAGGGAAAAACTTCCTGACAATTGGAATGGGTCAATTGGAATGGAGGCAGTGAGGGGGGTGTGTGTGTGTGGGGGGGTGTGTGTGTGTGTGTGTGTGTATAAACATATATAGGTTATATAGTTATATAGTAATACATAGTTATAAATATACACATATATAGTTATACATATATAGTTGTACATATATAGTTATACACATATGTGTTTATTTGCGTATGTATGTATGTATGATGTTGAATGTGGGATTCCAGCTTCAGAAAAAGCTAGAGTTCCCTGAGTATCCTTCCAAATATGAAATTCTGTAACTCTGTGAAATTCAGTCTTAAAAATTTTTGCTGTAAGTGGGCCTGACTTTTGAAGAATATTTATATCCATTCCCTCTCTCTCTTTGCTTGCTTCTTAATACAAATAATTGTTCCTAAGCTTTTCTACCATTGTATCAGCTTATTAATACTTCTTTTTACTCAATACTGTATTTCTACCTAAATGACTAGGTCATAGAATAACAGTGTTTTGTGGTTTATAGCCTGTAGGGACCTTACCGATCATGTGGTCCAACCTCTTTATTTTATAAATGAAGAAACTGAGGCACAGAAATGCACAGAGACATTGCTCAGATACATTCAGCTAGTAAGTGCCATGCAGGATTTGAATTCATATCTTCCTGACTCCAGATTCTTGTCCCCTACCCACTAAACCAAGCTAGTTTCAGACTAAGTATTTGACTAGCTAATTCATTATATTTTTTTTTATGCTTTATCTCTGTGCTCAGATTTGTTTTCTGCTTAGAAGATTTTCATCCCCATCTCTACCTATGGAAAATGTATTTATTATTGAGGACCAGCTCAGATTCTATTCTCTCCATGAAGTTTTCCCTAATCACTTCAGCTGAAAAAGGGATTTCTCCCAACTCTGAATTCTTATAGGGCTACTCTTATCTATGCAATTTAGAAGTCATTTATCAGATACTCCCTTGTATTGTTATTTGTATAAATGTTCTATCTCCTTATTAAATTGGTAGTTCATAGAGGTCAAGACCTATTTCTTATACATCTTTGTATCTACACATTCATAATCACAAACATATATGTTGCATATGTCCATACATACATGCACAGGGCTATATAGAGGGTTCCTATGTACACACACACACACACACACACACACACACACACACACAATTTCAAAGTCAACAGACAATAAGTACATATGCTAAGGATACACTGTGCTGAGCACTGGGGATACAAAGAAAGGCAATAACCATGCTTGCCCTCAAGGAGCTCACATTCTAATGGGGAAGATAGCAAGCAAACAAATCACTCTCTCTCTCTCTCTCTCTCTCTCTCTCTCTCTCTCTCTCTCTCTCTCTCTCTCCATATACACACACACACACACACACACACACACAACATCTATACAGGGTAAATTGGGGATAATCTCAGAGAGAAAGTGGTACTAATGAGATAAAGTGAACAACAAATGTCTAAAAGAAAAGGTATGATTATTTTTGGGAAATATAATACATTAGCTTAAATTCACACTAAGATGTCAATGACTGATAGTTATCTTATAATATAGCATCCATGCACACAAGGGTGTGCTGGAGCCAGCCCTAAATAGCATTCAAAAGCCTATTGTTAAATTTTCCATGTTGAACATTAACAATATAAGAATTGGTAATTGCTACAAATCAGGGCTCAGTTTATTATTTTGTTGATTTCTAGACTTAAAAAAATGTTAATAATGCAGATCAAACTTTGAAGTGTATTGATATACATCTTATTAAAATGTATTTATAACTTTCATTTTTAAATTGAGTTTTGAATTTTCTTTCTCCTGTCCCTCACCCACCCATCGAGAAGGTAAGCAATATGATATCACTTATACATGTGAAGCCATATAAAACATATTTCCATATTAGCCATGTTGCCAAAATTAAAAAAAAAACAATAAAAAGCAAAAAAAAGGTAAAGAAAAGGAAAAAAGTATGCTTCAATCTGCACTCAAAGTTCATAAGTTCTCTTCTCTCTCTGGAGGTAGATAGCATTTTTCATCATGGGTCCTTTGGAATTGTCTTGGATCATTGTCTTGATCAGAGTTGATCATCATACAACATTGCAGTTACTGTGTAAAATGTTCTATTGGTTCTGCTCATCTCTCCACCCACAATGAAGAGCCAAATTCTTCCCCGTGTTTATGTCTTCTCCCCACACTCTCTGTCATACCATTTAACACCCAAAAGCTCAACTGTGCCCAAATCCTTTTGGCACTTACTAAAAATACTGGTTGTCTCCTGGTGCAGGGAGTCTTTGATTCAACCAAGGGAAGCTATCAAATGACCCCAGGAACTGTCTGAGCAACCATCAGGCAGGGAAGAGAAGGGAAAGAATAAACATTTATATAGCACCTACTGTGTGCCAGGCACATAAGCAAGTAAGTATCTCTCTGCATTGGAGAGACAAAGGTCTACTATGATATAGTAGGAATTATATTTATATTATATACATAAATTATTTAAATATTAATTGAATTTTAATTTATTTTTAATTAATTAAATTTAAATAAATTGAATATTAAATTAAATTTAAAAATTAAATTAATAATTAAATTAATAATAATATTATAAGGCAGAGGATCCAGGTTTAATCCCTGGTTCTTCCATTTACTATTTATGTGACCTTGAGAAAAAAATCTTTCCTAGTATTATGGAGGTAGTAAAGTGGAAAGAGACTTGGATTTGTGGTTCAGTCCTTTTTGTTATATCTGACTCTTCATTTGAATGGGGTTTTCTTAGAAAGAGACTGGAGTGGTCTGCATTTCCTTCTCCAATGAATTAGGTGATTTGCCCAAGTTCACACAGCTAGTAAGCGTCTGAGGCTGGATTTGAATTCAGGACTTCCTGTCTCCAGAGCCGGTGAGCCACCTAGCTGCCCCCAAGTTGTTCTACACTTCAGCCAAGTATAGACTAAGGAAGCACACTGCAGGGGTCCGAGTTAGAGATACAAAGATACTTGGGTCCTGTCAGCACCCAGGGCAGCGGCCTCCTGAAAAAGAAGAGTGAATAGTACCCATTCAGCACATCTGAGTCTAGCAGAGAGGTGACCAAGCAAACTAAGGGCATGTGGGGAAACAGTCCACAAACAGACGTGTTCTGACAAGACAGAACACCAGAGTCACGGAAAGCTTGTTTGACCAATTCCCAGGGTTTGTGCAATAGGTGAGCTCGAGCTGCACTCACACAACAAAGAGTCA